ATAGCCTCACTTGACTCACCTTTTTCACATGCACACACGTAAAGGTAGGCCATTTTATTAAGTAATTATACTCGCCTCCCCTCAAGGTTTTAAGTGTTTTTAAAATCGATCCACTATTTTTCCCACACATGAAATTCCTATAAATGAGGCTCACTAATTCATCACAAAAGGGGTCCACATACAAAATATATCTATGGTTATGAAAGATTTAATTTAATTAACCCTTTAATATTTCACATAATTTTAATTTAGCTCACATAATTATGCTAATATGCCATATCATGTATGATCGGTCTTACAAATATAACACCCTAAATTTAATAGGAAAAATAAGCTTTTAAGAGTGTGTTTTGAGGTGACTTTTTAAAAATACTTCTACGACCTATAACTTCTCATAAGTATTTTAAAAATATATAGTGTTTGAAATCACCTCACCATCACCACCCCCCCCCCCCCCGCCCCACTACCATCACCATTACCACTCTTTACCACCCCCACCCCACCACCACCTCTAACACAATAACCACCCCTGGTCATCGCCGCCACCATACTACCACCACCTTCATCACCATACCCACCATCCACCACCACTATCACTACCACCATCACCACCACCCCATCACTGCCACTCTGCCCATCACTACCGGCATTGCCTCACCACTACCCTCCCCCTCCACTGCCACCCCCACCACCATTGTCACCACTATTGATTGCTACCACCGTCGTCCAACGCCATCATCATTGTCATCTCATTCTTATATTTATTATCGATACCACCATTATCCCACTACCATAGTCGCCCACTGTCAACAACCCACCACTCACCGCCACCCACTATCATAACCCACCATCACCTGTCATCATCCACCATCGTCGCCAGCCACTGTCATCTACCTTCACCACACCAACAACCATCACTCGTCGCCCACCATTATTGTCATCCACTATCACACCCCCCATCATACCTACCACCAACGTCATTCGCCACCACCAATGACACTATCACCTAGATGCACCATCATCGTCCCACCACCACCACTGCCAACCACCACCAATGTCTTCCACCACCACCACCACGACGTTACCCATAACTGTTACTACCAACATCGTCACTCAAAACTCATCATCACTATCATCGTTGTCACTCACAACTGCCACCATCACGACAATCGTCACCACCCACCACAATCATCTCTGTCTTCCACTACCACCACTACTATCTATCACTCATCCCCATATATATATATATATATATTATTTCACTCTTCAAGGTACTCAATTAGACAACTTTGTGCAAAACATCTGTCCAATAAATAATATTCTATTTAATAGTAGTCCCTCATATTATAAATTGGCCCACTAGAGTAAATCAACTTTTTATTTGTCACCCCAATTTAAGCTTCAGATTAATTAATTCCTTGAGCAAATCAAAAGGATACAGGTAGGGAGAAAAAAGGAAATGAATCACACCTTTTTAGATGACACGTGTCTGTCACATGGTAGATCTCTTTTTGCAAAGCAAAGCACACCCCCAAGAGTTTGATTCTTGGGATATCGTTGGGTTACGAGGTGCAACACACTTGTAAAAGGCAGGACCTACACGATCATCGAGTCATAGGGATGTTAATTGCGTCGTCTCATCTCATTTTTGTATCGTGTTTTTTTTTTTAATATTTATTTATTTTACTTATTTTATCCGTTAATTTTATTATTTATGCTCACCTTTATTTTGACCTGTTTATTATTTTAATTAAATATATCATTTTTAAATTTTATATCGACTCGGGTTCAAGCCGATGGGTAAAATTGACACCTCGAATGTAATTGAGAGGGCTTTTTTATAGTGGATCATTTTTTAATTTGTATTTTATCGAATTTAGATTCGATTAGTATTATTTATATGAATTCATATATGTGATTAGTTTTTCAAATGAATTTGAATGCTAATTTTAATTTAATAAATAAAACATGCTTCACGATTTGGAATTAGGATGTATTAATTAATTTGGTAATCTAATTTAATACAATTATTAGATTAAAAATAAATTTCTTCTAACATTAAAACTCACAATAAATTTAATTATTGCATTGAATTAGATTCCTAATTAAATCTGATGAGTTTGGATTTAACTGAGTCAAACTTAATTTAGATAAATCGAGAAAGCCCAAAGAAGCGTCAATTGTCGACCCATCGAGGAGGACACCAAGAGGACAACACCAAAAGTCAACGACCGAAGAAGGAGGAGGACAAGGAAGCCCTTGGGCGCCGCCCATAGCAAGCCCTTGGGCGCCCCTCCTCTTGGTCCTCTTCACCTTGGTACTCCAGGTCCAGTCCAAGTCCATGTCCAACTAATGTTCTCCTCCAGATGAATAGGAGCAACGACCGAAGAAGGAGGAGGACAAGGGTGCCCTTGGGCGCCCCTCCTCTTGGTCCTCCTCACCTTGGTACTCCAGGTTTAGTCCAAGACAAGTCCAGGTCCAGGTCCAACTAATGTTCTCCTCCGGATGAATAGGAGCAACGGTCGAAGAAGGAGGAGGACAAGGGAGCCCTTGGGCACCCCTCTTCTTGGTCCTTCTCACCTTGGTACTCCAGGTCTAGTCCAAGACAAGTTCAGGTCCAGGTCCAACTAATATTCTCCTCCGGATGAATAGGAGCAACGACTGAAGAAGGAGGAGGACAAGGGAGCCCTTGGGCGCCCCTCCTCTTGGTCCTCCTCACCTTGGTACTCCAGGTCCAGGTCCAAAACAAGTCCAGGTCCAACTAATGTTCTCCTCCGTATGAATAGGAGCACGAGGGAAGATAATATGGAGATAGATATAGAAGATCTCCTACCATAACAATACTTGCCAAAGTAATGGAATTTTTCTCCCTCACGTCACCGCCTCTGTTACCTTATCCTATCTATATAATGTAAGCCCTCTCAACATAAAAGGGCCTCTAACGCCTCCAAGGACCTTCTTGAGACCTCTACACCTTGAAGCTTCCAAAACCTCTCCGCACTCATCTCTCTCTCTCTCTCAAAAGCACTGTAACTCTCCAGAAATCATGATTCATCAATAAAGAACATCAGGCCACTGCTGCCATTCTCGAGAGTATAGTAGGTCACCCGGACCGAACCATTATAAATCCCTGTGTTGATATATTATTTACTGTTTTACTCTTAATTGCCGTTGATTGCTCATTAATTGTTCATTAATCACACCCTTACACATACTTGACTGTTGATCTTGCACGAAAACAATTTTGTACATCATCAAAATTTTCAAAAATTTACATCCAATAAAAATTTATAATAACATTTATACGTTGGACTAATAAACTAATTTTTTTAAAAAAAATTATGATAATTTCACAAATTACAATAATAAATTAAAAATATATAATATTTTATCCATAATGTATACCACCATTGAGGGACTATTATTGACTCGAGAAGGATGACAAGTGAATGTAGTAAATGCAAAAAAAAAAAAATGCGAACCGCTGACCGATCAGAGAATTAAGAATTGTTGACTAAAGAATATTTGGTCAAGGCTGAAGCATGACTTAGACAAATAATTTATCAGTCTCTTATCTTTTTTAAATAGAATATTTTTAAATTTATTTATCAAATTATAATAATTTTTAAAAACAGAATTAACAAACAAATATAATATTTTAAACTTATTTATCAAATTGTAGTATTTTTTAAAAATTGAATCAATAAATTCACTTTTGCTAAAGAATAGAGTCAACAATTCCACTTTTATTAAAAGATGGGCTCAATAAATAACTCCGACTTAGACTCTATTGAAATTGATAAAAAAATTGATATTTATGAGACTCTTTTTACTTGACAATTTATATATAAGAAATATTGATTAAATCTTATCCAGATGGGAATATAATACGATTAAAATGTCAAATCCGATAAATAAATGAGTTGGAATCAATTTAAACATCCCAAACCATCCTCGTCCAAGCATGATGGTGGCAAAGCATTTGGAAGGAAGCTTCAAAGTGAAAGCACCACTTTGCCCAACTTGCATTTCCAGCCACAAAATAAACCCCAAAAGAAGGAAATAAAGAAATCAAAACAATGATTTTAGCGCAGAAAAGTTGGGCAACGTCTGAAAAAGTGAGGTGTGGTTAGAGAGAGAAAATAAGGAGGACTTTGGGGGGTGGCAAATGTAAATAAAACTGCTTAAGTCAGCCGGATAGTACGACTCTCTCCTTCTCTAAATAGCGGAAAGATAGCGTTCAGCCGCCATCTAATAGATTTTTTTAATAGTACTATTTCTTGAATCCAGAGATTATTGGATTAGCGGGTTCGTCAATTTTTTTAAATAACATCTATTGATTCAATAATTCTTTTTGATTTAGATTAAAAATTTGAGGTACATATTATTATTTTAAATTTTTATTGATAAAATTACGAGATCCTTAATTATTTTAATTAATTTTTTTAAATAAATTTAATTAAATTAATATAATAATTTATCATTAAATTCTGATGTGAACTCCAAAAATCAAACTTTAATTGCCGAGAAGTTTGATCGGTACCGGACCGCCCACTCGGTGGTCGGATAAAACGACTGTTCTCCTGTCCCGTAGACTTTTTTATTCATGTTGCAAGTGAGAATCCAAAAGCAAAGAGAGAGAAAGCGCGGAGAGAGAAAACAAAACTTTATCAAATCCAAAAGAAAGAAGAAAAAAGTGAAAGAGAAAAAGGCGAAAAGAAAATCTCAAGGCCACACAAACTTGTGGCTGAGAATTGCTTTTGGTCGATGACGTGGCGGCCCCACTTGGTTAAAACGGACGGAATCATAAACGTAGTGTCTACGACGCCGAAATCAGAATACGAACACAACGCGACCCCCAGCCCCAACGCACACACTTTTCCACAGACACCGTGTATTGTCAGATCTCTCTGAATTACTCTCTTTGTCTCTCAGTAATTTGCACCTTTTTGCCAAGTAAACTTGGATAAGGGAAAGAACACAAATGTCGGAAGTCAAAGATCCAGCGATAAAGCTGTTTGGGAAGACGATTCCGTTACCAGAGATTTCGGCGACGGCGGCCGCCGAGGGCGGCGGAGCTCATCTAACTACATGTTCTGATTTTCCTGGTGATGATGGGCCTACTCAAGGCCATCCTTCTTCGCCCAATTCCTCGCATGATGAGGATAATATGAGCAGAGCTGGAGAAGAGCAAGACCCAGAGAAGGTATGGATTGACTTTGTAGTTTTTGATTTTCAGTACGACCCTTTATTTGGAATATAAAAAGAAATGATGGGTAGATCTTTGTTTTAAACGTTTAGAGCAGTTTGTTGACTTGGGGATTTTGGGGGCCTAATTAGGGTTTTTGATGTGTAGATTGTAACAATATAACTTGAATTTTATATGTTTTTTTTACTTGGGATTAGAGTAATTATTGCTATATTGTTCAAAGTTGGGATTCTCTGTCATGTTTTTGGAATTGCAGGTTTAGTTAGTTACCTATTCTAATTGTTCCTTTCAGATTCTTCTGTGATGGACTCTAATTTTTTCCACAATCACATGGCTTTCCTTATTAATTCACTTGTTTTGAGGTTCATGTTGATAAATAAGCAGTTAATTGAGTGAGCTTGGTTAAGAAGGGCCAGTCCGTATGTAGATATATGCCTGCTTGACAATCTCTTCAATTGCTGCTGTGTAACTTTAAATAATGGGTGCTTCGAACATCGTATTCATACTAATGTTATCCATTTGACTTAAAATGGTTTTTTCCTTCTTTTTTTTTGTGAAGCCTGATTTACCTTCTTGATCTGTGGATGATCAAGCTTTCTGCTGGTAATACCCCTTTGTTGTCATTCAACTTTAGGTAAATACTGTTCAAGATTGAAGTCATGTGCCTTATGCTAGAAATTGATATTTTCTAATTGAAATCGATGGATAAATTGATCAACTAGATGCACCTTCACCTGGTAATGGTTATGTTTAATGATAGTGTAAGTCCCTGTGCACTTATTTTCCTTTTATGAGCATGGGCTTCTTGTTTCTGTTAGTCCTGTTTGTTTCACACACTGCCGAAATGATGAGTTGATCGTTGGTGCTTCTTGTTACGTGGCTGTTCCCTATTCCTTTCCTTTATTTTGGTATCGTGCTCTTGGTTGTGGAGAAGAAGTGTTGAAGGACATAGACTCGGAATTCCGTAACGGCCACCAAACCGTACTTGAATACAGAATATGGTTTTTGTTTTGGTAGGTTCTTGATGATCAAATGGACAGTTTGTGTGCTTTGTTGACATAGTTTGAGTTTCTGTTTCAGCATAATGCCATGAAGAATGTGACTGACCTGATTATTACCGACATTTTCTTGACTCACACAATGTAATGCTGTATCTGTTAAGTCTGATGAAACTAGTGGACTATCCTGTGATGTCTTCTGAATTTGACCCAATAATAATTTCAGATCATTGGCCACATGCTAATAGTGCTGTTCAGATTTGGCAAGACTTTAGTTCCAACCAATTGATTTGTGATACTCTTTGAAAATTATGATAAATGCAGGATCAGCCGGAAAGGAAACTTATTGATCCTAAAGATGAGGGTGGAACCCAACCTTTGACTTCAGAGCAGTTACCAGATAGATATGCAACGTCAGCAACACAAAAGAACTCAGAAATATCAGCTTCTGATGATGATAATGCGGCTGTGAAAAGTATGGAGACTGGAGAAGAACAGAATGAGACAAGTAACTCACAAGAGAAGACCCTAAAGAAACCAGACAAAATACTTCCATGTCCCCGCTGCAATAGCATGGACACCAAGTTCTGTTATTACAATAATTACAATGTCAACCAACCCCGGCACTTCTGCAAGAACTGCCAGAGATACTGGACAGCTGGTGGAACCATGAGGAATGTGCCTGTTGGTGCTGGTCGCCGGAAGAACAAACACTCGGCCTCCCACTACCGTCACATAAGCGTCTCAGAAGCTCTTCAGAATCCCCGAGCAGATATTCCAAATGGACTTCACCACCCTACTCTGCAACCCAATGGTACTGTCCTTGCCTTTGGATCAGATAAACCCCTTTGTGAGTCAATGGCTTCAGTTTTGAATATTGCTGAAAAAACAGTGCGGAACTGCTCACAAAATGGGTTTCATAAATCAACAGAACTAAGAATTCCAGTTTCTTATGCAGTTGGCGAAAATGGTGAAGATCATTCTAGTGGATCTTCAGTCACTGCTGCAAGTTCAATGGATGAGGTTGGTAAAACTGTGCTGCCCGACCCAATGATGCCGAACTGTCAGAGCTTTCCACCTCAGGGACCATGTTTTACCGGGCCTCCTTGGCCTTACCCATGGAATTCAGCTCAGTGGAGCTCTCCAGTATCCTCGCCTGCTTTCTACCCTGCTGGCTTTCCTATGCCATTCTACCCTGCAGCACCTTATTGGGGTTGTACTGTGCCAGGAACTTGGAACCTCACTTGGGTCACCCAGCCTCCTATGTCTCAAAACCAGATGGCCCCTCCTCCAGGGCCCAATTCTCCATCCTTGGGGAAGCATTCAAGGGAATACGACATGCTTAAATCAACCAACGAACACAAAGAAGGGCCACAAAAAGAGAGTGATCCTGAGAAGTGCCTTTGGGTTCCAAAAACTTTGAGGATTGAGGACCCTGGAGAAGCTGCAAGGAGCTCTATATGGGCGACACTGGGGATTAAACATGATACAGCAGATTCTATTCGCGGAGGAGGTCTCTTTAAGGCTTTCCAATCAAATGGTGACAAAAAGAATCACACAGAAACCTCTACGGTATTACAAGCCAATCCAGCAGCATTGTCGCGATCGCTAGACTTTCATGAGAGTGCGTAAGTGGATGGCTGGAAAAGCTTTGTGAATGATACATAATGGTGGCAACGGAAGCACAAAGACTTTTTAGTTCATGTGAATTCGCTCTGAATTTTAATGTCATATTGTGACTTCACCAGGCCTGATTAGCCAGCCACTCTTTAGAAGAATCAGTTCTCGATGGACCAACTGGGAAAAGCAGACAAGAGACTCCTGTTTGCTAATAGAAAAGAAACTCCTGTGACATAAATCTCAAGAGAAGGGAGATAGAATTCGTTGGCTGAGGTAACAACTGATTTCTACTTGTCTTTGGGTGGAAGTTCAAATAGCTTCTTTTTGATCTCAATTAGATGTTACGCTGAGTTCTTAGTGCATGTACATATTCTTATTTGAAGTATTAAGAGCATAAACAGATTCCCATATGCAGTAAAATAAATTTGGTAATAAAACTCAAGCATTTCTCCTTGAACGCATACTTTTCAGAAGAGCACTCTTTTTTCGGTAAGTTTGTCGTAGGAGAAACTGAGATTTGGTGGGAATTCGAATCTACACCAGTTAAATTAAAATTTGTGTTTCGGTGGGTATTCAAATCTACACTAGAGACTTGGATAAGGTTCTTCTAAGCAATTGAAGTTTGTCCTATCAACCAATCACCTGTTTTTTGTTCAAGAGATTTAAACTCTTAACTTTAAGAAGATAAAACGTAAAACTTGATTTTTTCTCCCAAAAAATAAAATAAAAATATAGATTTGATTTTATGTCGACAGGCTATGCACTAGTGCCTTGTGAGTGCCAAAGAATCCAAACAACTAGCACCAAAAGGTGGATGTGACTGTCAAAGTTTCAGTTTCTTTATGCGTTCCCTTGTTCCTTTCTTTTCATCGGTAGGTAAGAAATAGACTTCTTAAATTTCACCGTCGGATCAAGTGGATTTCCTTTGAATGGCCTGTTGCTTTGACGGTGATTCCTGTGCTATAGGTGACAGAACATTTTTACCTCCAAAACTATATGCAACTTGGGCGGGTTGAAATGTTAGCCTTAACTTAATTTTAGGTGTATAATCTTTAATTCTAACACTAATTTTAATCCGATCTCAACCCGAAATACTCAACTTGAGTATTGTCTGAATTTAATTCGGACGGGTTTGGGTTGAATTCGGATTACTTAATTCTGTTTAATTTTGGGTTAAAAATTGGGTTGTGGTCGGTTTACTTAATTCAGGTTGATAAAAAGGATAGGAGTGACTAGTGAGAGAGGGACTCTGAGACAAGACATAGACGAGTGAAAGAGGAATCTGAGAGTGATGGAGGCACAGAGAGTGAAGACTTGAAGTGAAGTGAAGTGAAAGTCTGGATTTTGAAGAGTGAAGATAAATATTAAGTTTAGTTAAATAAATTTATATATTTATGTATATTCGGGTTGAACCCGACAACTTGAGGACTCAATTCAATTCGGGTTGAAATTTTTTTGTCCAAGCTTAAATCAAGTATTAAAAATTTTAACCCAAATTTTATTTTTTCGGATTAGATTCAAATTGAATTCGGGTTGGCCCAGTTCAAATTGCACCCCTATCCAAAACCCTTGTTCAGATCTGTATTCTACAGAATCTTGACCTTGCCCTGCAGGTTTCTACTATTCTTCAAGTGAGGTATCATACAAAAAATTATTAATCGATAGTATTTGATTCCAACTTTTTTGGGTTAAGATAACTTCCTATTCAATGAGATTTATCTACGACCCAAAAAAACTTTACCATAAACAATCCCATTTTATGATAACTTGATTAGGTTTAGCGTTGATCTCGCCTCCATTAGGTAGTAAACTTGGTACTGTTTAGAAAAAACTGTTGAACACTTTAGTCACATCCTACCTTGCATTTTTCAACAACTAACAGTCCCTCCACCAAATGCATACTCAAAATCTTACATTATCAGCAACCAACAGTCCCTTCACCAAATCCATACTCAAAATAAGCAAATATTATCACTAAGCCGAAAAATAAATTAGAGTTTGTGGTTGCATGAAATGTGTGCCTCACTCACATAATCAAATTGTCATTATGATCAATCTTACTTAGATTGCTAAAACAAATTTGGACTTTTTTGCTTAAACAATTGGAGGTTCTTTATGAAATACAAAATACAGCTAAATCCTCAAACTTGGTAGTCTAGAGTCGACTCTTTATAACTATGGGTGGTTAAAGTGATGATAGAAACGAGCCTTAAACTCAAATATCATAAGTTTGAATCTTAGCAATATTTTGGAGTTCGATTATGAGAAATTTATGTTTCATGAATACTCTAATTTTGATGTGGATGACCTATATTTGATTGGATTAAGAAAGAGATTAGTCGAAGTACGCATAATTAAGCTAGTGTAGATATCTTTGACCATTGAACCAAAAAAAAGTCAAACTCTTTATATTGTCATAGTTAAGACCATGTATTTAAGTTATATAAGTAATCCAAACCATCACAGGTTCATACAGATGGTTAGGTATTCACCTTTAAACTAGTATGTTTGAGATTTGAACCGACATAAAATATGTCATAAAAAAAGAATTTTTTTAAGGTGCACTTGATAAATTCAAGATCATTACATAGTAAAGGCTCTAACTAGTTATAGGATGCTGTGTGAGTTGAAAATTAGGTGTTAGATTTTTTTTTTTTTAGTTTAACGGTAAAAAATGTCTAAATTAGTTTACGTATATCTTAATTAATTATTTCTTCAATCCGATAAAAAAAACAGACCATTCGCCTCAGAGTAAGGTTAGCTGCCAAAAAAAGAAAGGTTGGAGGTATCACTTTGCCAACAAAACAAGCTTCCAAGTTATTTTCTTTTTGGCTTTGCTAGTGGGAGAAGACCTATCTTATTTATTAGGAAGGTTTTGTTTAGTTAAACATATATATATATATATATATATATATATATATATATATATATATATATATATATATATATTATTACATGTACTCCACTTCATAGTGTAGTATGACATGCCCAAACCTAATCCCAAGACACCCAATACAAGGAAGGAAAGAAACATTAACCTACTTTATGTCAGATCCAAGGTGACAAGTGGTGCTTGCTGCTTCCGATCCAAAGCATAAGTAGAGTTCGCATTTGAACCAGTTTTCTTAATCAATTCCCTCTAATGATGTAAAGAATGAGGTTCAATGTTAGGTGAAATTTATTCAACAAGAATAATTTATTGATTAGCAAATTTATTTTCTAAATAAGAAATTTGATAGATAATTTTATTTCAAATAGCATTATTATTTTAAACTTGCTAATATGAATGAGTTCTCTCCTTTCTCAATAAGAGAAGTGCGAAAGATAAAGAAAATAAAATAGACTTATTTCCTCGCTCAAAAAAAAGGGGGGGTTATTTGCACATGTCTTCATTGTTTATTGAAGTGATAACGAGAAGGATACAGATGAACTGCTAAAAGAATTAGGGAGTCTTCCACCTTCACAGTTTCTTTAATTATAAATGTCAAACCTAAAGTTAGGTTTGTAGGCACACACAAGGTGGGTGAATGATAACTAATCATACCCAAAAACTCAAGATCAACAAGGCAACATCTTTTTCTGAGGTCTTTGTTCTGCCGCAATTTTTCATCTTTATTATTATTATTTTTAATTTAACGATTAGAAGTGTCTAAATTAATTTAGGTACATTTTGACTAATTTTATCTCTAATCCGGTGAAGAACACACAATCAACACCGAGACTTAAAGTATTTATGGGAAAAATTGTTTAACATGCGATAAATGATGTGTCCACCAAACTTCATATATCTCACATTAATGGTCATTAGATAGTTAGTGAAAGTTTGTAAGATTTCTTGATCTCACAATTCACATTAATTTGGTATAAAATATATGGTGAAAATTTTAGTCCATGTATTATCCGCAGATAATTAGCTAAAATAAAGTAGGCCGGTTTAACATATATAGACAAAAACCGGTCTCAAACCACATCAATCAAACCGGTGTCCCGTCCAGAGGCTGCCTGTATAAAGAGGGATGCCCACTAACGCTTTCTAGTATCATCGTTACTGCCGCAATCAACTTTTCACGAAATATTATAAAAATTAGATCTGAGGCCAAGGCGGTTTATTAGAAACTGCAAAAAAATCTCAGGATTCTTCTACGCTTCGGGTCGTCTCTACTGTTTGATAACATCTCTCACACAAATCTGAGAACAAACCCCATTTCCAAGAATCGAAAAAGAAATCATGGGTCGGTCTCGTTTTCTCGCGGTCTTGGTTCTATCGACTCTTCTGATTCTCTCGTCCTCCCATGGTGATGTGATTATTATTATGAGTATTTTTCTTAAATATTTTCTCACAGCTGGGGTCTTCTTTTTGTTTTCTTTACAATAATTGTTTTGTTTTTGATTGTTTGATTTCGTAGGATTTGGGAGAGAATTGATGGAAACTTCTGGGGGTGGAGAAAGTGCTACTACTGCTCTATTGGAGGTTTTCAGTTTTCAAATTCTTGTTTTTTTGAATGGACAAGTTTTAATTAATTGGGCAAGAATGTTAATATCTGTTTGTTTCTCAGGAAAATGCAGGAGGAGAATCAAGGGAGATGACTGAGGTGTTGGATTATGTTGATCCTGGGCCAAACACTAACCCAAAATCTGGATTACTGCCTCCTCCTTCACCACACCGCTAAGTCTGATTATTCCACATCTAATTTGAAGGTTGCTCTCTTACACAAATCATGTTCTTATTATTTTCTGTAAGGGTTGTCCATCGCTTGAAACTTTAGTCACTTTTTTATGGGGTTTTTCTTCTTCTTCTTCTTCTTTTTGTTTCCTATATTTTTGGCTGGTGTTCATGTAATTTCATATGGAGATAATTACGAGATCAACTTTGTTTAACATGTGTCATCATAAATAGTCAAATTACACTTTTCCCCATCAAAGTTTCTCACAATTGGCACTCTAATCTCTGATGTAAGAGATGAGATGCAAATTTAAATATCTTAATTTAAAATTTGACAATTCATATCGGGTTAGATTATGAAAGAATTATTCCTCGTAAATTTTTTATTTTTAGGGTGGTTGACTTGTTTTTGATTAAATTACAAAAATAATTAGTAGAAGTGCGTGTTAATTAGTTCTAGACACACTTGAGTGCAACACCCAAAAAAAAAAAAATAGGTATAATTTAAACCCAAACTTAATTAAGTGAATATAAAGATGAGTTATAAATATAACATATCTTCTTCAGAGTTTGATTATGAGAGATTTATTTTTCATAAATTTTTTATTTTTAAAGTGAATGACTTGTATTTGACCAAATCACGTTGGGAGGTGTAACCCATTCACACCTGCTCTCAATAGCAGTTGGGAGGTGTAACCCATTCACACCTGCTCTCAATAGCAAAAAAAAACAAAAGTAGGCAGAATTTTGAAATGAAATGCAAAGAGCTCAGAATCGAAGGCACGATTTGGGGCCCCGAATTCTCTGACCCATGGGGAGCTGCAGAAATCAAACATATTGGGTCTGTCTTCGATGTCAAGTCTGGACTTGGCCCATTAAGTTAGTAGGTAGTTGGGGCCCATTGACCAGAAACCAATATTCAATCTTATTCATCAGTAGGCTGTAAATCGAACGAATTCGAATCGAGTTTAAAAATTTTATTTTTTAATTGAGCTTGAACGAGCCGAACCCGAGTCGAGTCCAAACCAAGTCCGAGTATTTGCACATAAACGAGCCGAGCTTGTCGAATTTTAGTCGAACTTGTAGAGCTTGTTTTGTAAACGAACTTAAAAACTTGTTCAAATTTGGATTCATTTAGAAAACGAACTAAGCCTGAACGAGTCGAACTCAAGCTAAACTCGAGTAGTTCAGTTTGATTAACAACCCTATTCATCACTCAAACATTGTGGATGAAATTTACATTTTTACCCTTATCATCACCAAATCTACAAAGGTAAGGAGCATTAGGCATTTGAACAAAGAAGAAAAGGAACATTAGATATGTGCTCCACTCAGGGGTGGGTAACATCCACCCCATGCCCAACCTTGGGACACAATGACTAGTATTTAGTCCTCAATTAGGCTTGTTAACGCATCAAATTGAATTATATTGAATTATATGACGAATTTTGTTTTTAAAATTTGTATGGAAAAATAGTGAAAATTAGATATCTTATTTAACTTTGCAGTCTACCCTACATAGGGATGGTAATGGACCGGATAAAAATGGATATTCGTCTAAATCCGTCTTATTTGGACTCAAAATGAACCATATATATTGGACAATGGATGTATACAGAGATACCCATATAAACCGATGGGGTGATGAAGGTGGGGATGGACTGACATTTACCCCTGCCACATCCTGCTTTACCCGTTATTATTATTATTTTTTTATATATATACATGTTGTGAATACAAATTTACATATTATTGAATGATTTTTTTTTTTGAAAATTGTTTTGCTTTTTTGACTTTTTTTTAATGTTTTTGCCTTATAAAAGTATAGATCCTTGTGTTTTTGTATTTTTTTTATGTTACATTATGTTGTATTGTATTATATTGTATTGGATTTACATGAGAGACAAGGTTTTAATTATATTATGTTGAATTATGTTGTAAATGATAAGGTTTTAATTATGTTATGACATTCTATAATTATGTTAAATTTATTTAGAATTTTAGATTATGTTAGTTTTGGCTTGGGCTTGGCTGCGTAAGATGGACGAGGGCAAAGATTACAAATTTACCCTCGGAAGAGAGATGGTGATGAAAAATATACCTATTAATAGAGGTGGATCGAGGATGAACAGAGTTTTTTTAAACAGGTACAAGAATGGAGGCTACACTCCCACCCTCGCTTGGGTCCACTGTCATCCCTAACCCTAAATAACCTAATCATAGTTGATTTCAACAAATTATACTAAAGATAAACCCAATGTTATCAAATATTTTTTGTTCGGATTATTCTCGGATGTGATATCATAAATTAAAATCCTAACCAAATGGATGCATGACAGATCTATCTCCAAGACAACAAAATATGTAAACGAAGTTGTATAACCATATTGAACTTCATATTGGGGTTTTTGGAACTAACTTAAATAGGTAATTTTTAAAGATTTTGAAATAACATAAGTCAGGTATGTTTGGATCTTGATTTTTTTTACTGGCTTATGAAGCAGTTTTTTGGACCCAAAAAACACTAATTCAAAAAACTGATTTTATGAGGTTTTTTTTCGATTTTTTGAAATTGTGTTGCTAGTTTCACATAACTTTTTAGTTTATTATATTCATAAAATATTATTAGTGACGTAAAAAATTTAAAATGCATATTTTAGGAATTATTATGCATAATTTATATATACATATAATTATTTTTTATTTTGACACAAAAAGTCAAAAAAATTAGAAAGTCATTTCAAACGAACTTTTTTAACTTTTTTAAAAACACTCCAAACAATTTTGGAAGAATTTTTTGCAAAAGTTTTAAAATCGTAAATTTTCAAGTAAAATAACTAGTTCTAAATTGACTCATAGTCTTAATACGCATTTGTGGGCCTCACACAATTGGCACGACTACTCATGTGTGTCACTATAAAAAAAAAAAAACTAAGATGGGAAGACGGCGTAGGGGAGAGATCCATATGAGGGCTTGAGAAATCTTCATTCTAACTTTTAAAATTTTGAATTATTGAATTTTTCATTCTCTAATCATGTTCTACCAAATTCTTTTAATAACTACTCTAAACAACAACCTATAAACTCCCTCTAATCACCACTTATTGCAATTTTTAAATGTCAAATTTGTAATCTAATAATTCAAATAATATTTTTATTACAAGATTGGGTGGGAGAGGGTAAAAGATAAAAAAATGGATGGGATGAGAAAGGGATAGTATGTGTATCACAAGGACACTAGTACTATATATGTGAAACAATCAATTTTTTGGGGAGAGGACTTGAGAAACATTCCTCTAACTTTTCTAATTTTTAAGAATTTTGAATTATTAAATTTTCCATCTCCAATCGCGTTTTACCAAATTCTTTTAATAACTACTCTTAAATTCCCTCTAATAAACAATAATTCATTTTTTTTTAGACATTAAGTTTTATAATCAGATAATTCGTATAATATTTTTGCAAACTTATAAAAGAATAGATGAGAAAAAATAAAGAGTTAAGAAGGGAATTGGAGAAAAGGGGACGGCCTGGGGTCAGAAATTAGTATGTGAATAAGAGGAGGAAAGTTAGGGATAGTTAAAGTGTAGTTAAGCATGATTTAAAAAATATTACGTTGGTTTAAAGCGGATGAAAAGAATGCTTTAGTAAATTTTTTATGACTAAACACCAAATCCCACCTCTTTTCTTTATTAGCATTATAGATATTAGCCATAATATTTCATGATATTAGAAATAATATCGAATATGAGTGAAAGGATATTTCCATATTTTGTTTTCAACAAGGGTTCAGTAACAAGATCTCTCCCCCTACTTCTAGTTGCACATTCAGAAAGTAAAAGTGTCAAGGTTGTTCACGTACGATCTCAGATAAATGTATCTAGGTCGTCTACGTTATCACATCATGAGGAAGTATAGTATTTCCAACTCAGGTCAAGAAAACAGAACAAACTCCTTTATCCACAAGCTATCCAAAGGAATAATATGTCGACTTAAGCAGTATGACATCTCACATACATGGAAGATAACAATGTATCCAAACTTAGGGATGGGTCTCAATGTCATCTCATCATGTTCTATAAAGCCACGTCACACTTAAGAAATGTAGCATCTAACAACCAATATTCCCCTAACAAAGTTCTAGCAAATCGGAGACCATGTGAGATGACGTGAGGACCACCCCACATGTGAATATAAATACAAGGGCAATCGCCCACGCACCAGGAGCAATTGAAACCCCTATCTTTTTTCCTAAGCAATAGAAAACCTCCTACTGAACAAGAGATTCTATTAGAGTAGATTATCTAAGCTTTTCAACGGGTGAACTGTTATAGTCTTTTATGTCTCTCACATTTTCTAGCTCTTACTTTTGTTTCACGTTTTCTTAGCATTTTATAGAACCTCTAGGCTCAGCCACGCATCGATCTCTCGGACATTGTTCATATTCACAATCCACTGTTTCTAAGCTTTGAACTTCTCAAATTCAAGCAACCATCTCAAGCTTTTGAATTTTAACATCTATAATATACATCATGGCAAATTTCAATAAATCTATTCGACGGTCTCAAATAAACTCATTCAACTGTCACTAACATCCTTCTCAAAATCATTCATATTGAATTTTTCCTGCTCCTAAATTCATCACTTTTCACTTATATTGTATCGTATTTTCAGACACGGATTACTCCTAGTACATTAATATTTAAAGAATTTTTCTAAGCTGATTAATTGATATTTTTAAGGAAACTACCCCTTATTTAACAACCATTGTCTAGGCTGTATGTGTAATACGATTCTGCTCTATGTCTTTATCAATTATATGTTGGATTATCTTTCCCCTCATCAAATAATTGATTGTGGAGAAGGAACGCGTAAGCTTTAAGGTTCGTACGGAGAAGGACATGACCCGAAAACACCTTCTAATTTCCATTTTTTTCACGCGATTTTAAGTCAAAAAATAAAAAAGTAAAAAACAAAAGTTGTGTAGAAAAAAAATAGATTCGTACAAGACCCCCTTATCTCTTTTTCTTTTTCTAATCCGGAGAACCCTTTTATAATTCAGAGGACTTTGAATAAGAACCATCTGATCCGCGGTTTTCTTTTCAAAGTAATGAACAATTCTTTTCGTTTTTTAATCAGTTAACGTGCAATGAACAATTCATAAGCAGCCTCAAGAGTCTCTTCTCTTTATATTTTTGGGGCTATAACAAAGAGAACGTGCCGATAAGAATAAATTATAAATTTATACGTCTTTAATTTAATTTTTGATAAATTTTTGAAGTCTAATAATGAAATATTTATTCCTTAGGAATATCTTAGTTCTGACGTAAATGATTTGTTTTTAACTGGACTGAGGAAGAGATTAGTCGATGTGTGTGTAAGCGGACTCAAACACTCTTAATCATTAAATTAAAAAATTAAGCCACACAATTCATTAATTTGACACAAAATAAATGAGTTGTTTGAGTTTAAGCTTACCCTGTTAAATTCATCAATAAGTGAGTCGACAACGAAGTTGATCTAAATAAGATAAAAACATAACACGGATTCATTTATACTTGATAATAAATAGATCATGAACAAATTTTAACATAACAATGTAAATTCCCTGCGAATCTGACATGAAATGAACTATTGACAATTTCAACGTGCTTGTGTTGATTAATAAAATTGACGCCCTAGTAATAGTCAGTGGCGGGCTGCCGCGGGCTTGGTTCCAAGAAACTTCAATGTAATATTTCACGTCATCCGCAGGTTCCAACCAACTCCCCCCACAAAAGCCAAAAGCAGACAAAGAAAAGCAGGACAGCCTGCCCCACCTCATCGCTTAAAACAACTCCAATCAAACCCACAATGCAGGAGCAGAGAAACTTCCTCTGCCGTTTTCTTTACTTGTCAAACTCTTCATGTTCTTTCAACTTTCTTCACTAGACTCCTCGCACCAGACATGAACCTTCTTCACCTCCTCTCAAAGTTGACTATTCCCCATGTGTTACGCAAAACCCATCTCTCTTTCTCTTTCTCTTTCTCTCTTCCATATAAACACTTCCCCACCTCTCCATTCTTCACAACATACCAACCTTACCAAACCCCCTATTCCATTTATGTATACTTTATGTGAAATATTTCACGAGAGAACAGAAAGAGTTTTATCTGTTTTTCACTCATAAAGTAATGTCATTAGCCATGTCTATAACCCATCTGAACCAATTTCCAACAGAGAAGATAATAGAAAATAGTCATACTGTTCCACCTTCTATCTGGATGGTTGGATTGGTTCATTTTTTGTTGCTGCGCTTGATTTTCTATTTGTTCAGAAAATTTGGTAATTTTTTCTCAAGGTATCATTCTTTTATCCAATCTCAACTGAACAATTTGAAATCTCAGACTGTGAAGAAAGATCAAGATTTTGAGCCATCCATGAGATATCCAAAAACCAATGAGAATATAGACGATGACGATGACGATGATTATGATGATGGGAGTCTTTGTAGAGACGAGGTAGAGATGGTGATGACAAAGTTGGGGATTTTTTGCCATCCGGAAGATGAGAAGCTTCAGGAGAGGTTGGGTTCTGATGATGTTACTAACCTGTTTGATGAAAAGGAGCCGAGTTTGGAGGAGGTGAAGGGAGCTTTCTATGTGTTTGATGAGAACAGAGATGGGTTTATTGATGCCATGGATTTGCAGAGAGTTCTCTGCGCTTTGGGATTGAAGGAAGGACTAGAAATAGAGAATTGTAGGATGATGATTAGGGAGTTTGATGAAAATGAAGATGATAGGATAGATTTCATTGAATTTGTAAAACTTATGAACAACTAATTTGTTCTGTTTGTGTTGTTATGCTTCTCAACATTAATTCATTTGAAGTAGTTTCTGTTGTCACTTTTACTATCGTGGTTCATCAATTTTGGGTCTTGGACCTAGAAACACTCCTGCAGGAAGAACAAAGCACCATAACTAAACTTCAGTATAAGGTTCTTTTTTGCTTTGGTCTAGGTTCGGAGTTTGAGTCCGACTCCGGGTTCAGGTCATGGGTTCGATCTAAGTATTATGTAAATATTTTAGTGAATTTTTAATTATATTTTAATACTTAATCCTAGAGATTATCAAACAAAATAATAGTGTTCAAAAATTATATGATACGACCATATAAATGAACTAGTTATTACATGTGTCTGAAGACACAAAACAATAAAAAATGATAAATAAAAAATATATTTGTATTTATATTCAAAATCAAATCACAAATATAGATAAGAGATAAATGAATTTAAGCATCGATTGTAGTGGAGGTGAAAAGTGGTGGGCGACAGTGGTAATGGTAAGAAATGGTGATGGTTGTAGTGGGTGACAATGACTATAGTAGTGGCGACGGCGACAGTAGTGTTGGCGGCGGCGTGGTGGTGGTGGTGCTGATGACAGTGGTTGTAGTTGTGGTCGTGGTCGTGGTGGCAGTGACAGTAGTGACTACAGTGGCGGTGGTGGTGGCAGTGGCGATGGCGACGACAATGGTGACGACAGTGGCAACGACGGTGACGGCAGCGACGATGGTGGTTGCAGTGGTGGTGGCGGTGGTGATGGTAGTGGTGGTGGCGGTGGTGGTGGTAGAGGTAGAGGTAGTGATAGTGCAGTTTCAAACATAATTTTTGTTTAAAATATTTATGAGAAATAATTTCTAGAAGTATTTTTAAAAAGTCACTCCAAACATATTTTTAGAGGCCTATTTTTCTTATTAAATTTAGGGTGTTAATATTAGCCGTTAGATTAACTTTAAAATAAAATTTAAAGCGATCTGAACCGCGAAAAATAAAAGACATTTTATTTATCTATTAAAATTTAAATTATAAACTATTTTATTATATAGATTTTTGTAACTTGATGACTCCTTTAGAAGTAGTAAAAATTACGACGGCATTAAGTAAGTGAGAGAAAATTGAGAGGAGAAACTATAAAACAATTTGAATAATTTACATACAATTGAGTTTAGAAGTACAGAATAAATGAAACCAAGGTAGTAGTTTAAGTGGAAATAGGGCAAGGGCAAGCTCTTGAGGTCAAATAATGAAAGATTTATTTTTTATAAATATTCTACTTCTGATATGAATGTCTTACCTTTGATCAGATTGAGGAGAGAATTAGTTGAGGTACGCGTAAATTAGTCTGGACACCCCGTTAAACTACAAAAAAAAAAAAAAGAGTAATTGCCGGCAAGACAAAATTATAAAATAAATACTACTAAAAAGGATTTCAAAAGATGAATAAATAAAGGGTTAGTTGTTTTTTACCTCCATGTGGTTCCGGTTAGAAACACCTTCTCTACTTTATATTTAAAAATTATGCACATTGTCCCCTTATAGTTAGTTATGTACCAAAATGAAATAATTGATGTCGTCAACAGAATTAAAAAATTACCATAATACCTACATTTTAAAATTAGACTTTTCGTCTAATTTACTTTTGATCATAAAACTAACATAACACGTAAACAAACCAATACTTTTCAATTAAACATTTTGAGTCTCTTTTTTCCTTAAGTGAGGTTTTGATCCGGAGTCGAAAATCACATATGTTTTTCTTATATATTTTTTAATCTAGGATTAATACCCTACCTATTTGGGTATTATACCATATATTATAAATAGTATTTTATATACTTAAACAATATTCTTTAAGAGGGAAATAATAGAAACAAAAGTCCATAATATGTTTTGGGTGTGTGGAATACACTCTCCGACCTCCATTAACTTGAATGATAAAAGTAACTATTTCATTTTAGTACATAACTACAAGGGGTAATGTGCATAATTTTAAACGTTAAGTAAGTACTGTATTTATAGTAAAAATCACTTGGACGTAAAAAGCAATTAACCTATAAATAAATGTGAATAAAAAATTACTAAATAGTACGTAAGAGGACTAAAATAGAAAGCACCCCGTAACAAGCATGGACAGAACCATATAGCACTACCATGGACATCCTAGATTTGAAACTTCAAACTACATATTTCAATAATATTATTTACATTTAATGGAATTTTAATTGAAAATTTAATCAATTACAACTATTAAATTGAAGGAGGGCCATTTCATATTAAGAGTCATACTAATTTAATAGGTACAATGAATTATATTTCCAATAAAGTGCAAATAGAATTGCTACATTTTTGCTTGTCTTAATATATTAATCTCTTTGGGACTAAAATACACTGACATCCACTTTAATTTTTGAAAAATATTAAAGGTTATCACTATAGTTTTTGACAATTTCAAAGAAGCTAACTCCAAGAGGTAGTTAAAGTGATAACAGAGAAGTAGTGTAAATTTATACATGAGTTCGAATTTTGGCAATTCCTTGAGACAAGGTCATAAGAGATTTATCGCTCATAATATCCTAGTCCTAACATAAATAACTTGCATTTGACAAGACCATTGAACAAAAAAAATTTCAGAGCAATCTACAATATAGTTTAAAAATAAATGTTTGTTATCTTTTTTGAAATTTTTTTTGTTATATGTATTACTAGTTATTTTTCGTGCCTAAAGGCATAGAGTAATAAAAAAATGGTTAATAATAAATATATTTGTATTCACATCCAAAATTAAATCATAAAAAAATAAAAAAAATAAATTTAAGTACCTGTTATAGTGGGGTGACCGGAGTGGTGGTGGTGGTGGAAAACAATGATGATTGTAGTGAACGGCGACAACCGTGGTAATAGTGTCAGTCGTGGGTCACAATGGTGATGGTGGTGGTGGGTTTTGAGTGACGATGGTGGCAATGACAGTTATAGGTGATGGTGATTGACAATGGTGGTGGTGGGTCGACGACGGTGGTGTATGGTGACGATAGTGGTGGTGAATGACGATGAGTGTTTCTGGACCACAGTGTGATGGGTGGTGGTGGTGGTGATAGGTTTGGTGGGGGTGGGTGACAATAGATGATGGCGATGATGGGTGACGACGGATGGTGGTGGGTGCTAACGGTGGACGACGGTGCTAGTGGTAATAAATATATGAATAAAATAACGATGGTGGTAGGCGGTAGATGACAGTGGTAGTAATCAGCGAAGGTGGCAATAGTGGTGGGGGTAGGGGAGGTGGGGCTGTGATGGTGGGGGTGGAGTGGTGACGGACAACGATGGTGGTGATGGGGCGATAGGAGTGGTGGTGATGGGATGATAGGGGTGGTGGTGAGGGTAGTGTGGTAGTAAAAATGGTGGTGGTGGGGCAGTGGTGTGGTAATAGTGATGGTGATGTTGGTGGGACGATGGGTGTGGTGGTGGAGTGGTGTTGTTGTAGCAGAGATGGTGGTGGTAACAACAGTGGTGGTTGTTGTGGTAGAGATGGTGGTAGGTGACGACGGTGGTGGGGGGGGCACTGGGGGTGGTGGTGATAATGGTAGTGGGAGAGTTTTAAACATTACTTCTTTTTTTTTTAAGTATTTATAAGAAATTATAAGGTTTAGAAGTACTTTTAAAAAATTATATCAACACACCCTTAGGGACCTATTTTGTATTTTCGTATTAAATTTGGTGTGTTAATATTAGCCATCGGATTAACTTTAAAATAATACTCAAAAAGATCTCAACTGTAAAAAATAAAAGTCATTTTATTTATCTTTTAAAATTTGAATTTTATTGCATTTTATTACATAGATATTATCTTATTTTTATATATAATTTTTTGTATAATATTTAATTTTAAGTAACCGACATAAAAATTGGTATTCACATTTCCTAAAATGGAGCACATTATTACCTTTTTGTTTGATCAAGGGCGTAATATAAAAATTTCAACCTTTCAGAGCTTAAATTGAGAATTTAAAGATATTTTAAGTACAAAGTGTCATTTGCTCGGGTGGAGCTCCTCTGCAGTTGAAGTCTAATAGCATGCTATGCTGTTAAGAGCAACGGCGCCATTTTGGCCAAGACTCCAATAGCCAACAAAGACACAAAACGACGTCGTCCAATTTGTGCACATTTCAGTGTGCTATGACGGCGTCTTCCACCTGTGCAGAATAAAACACATTTCTCCAAAATCGACAATCAAGAACAGGTTGTGCAGCTTCTTCAACCAAGAACAGTCGATTTCTTTGTCTTCCTCGCTGCGATCCTCACTCAAACTAGAGTTGTTTGTAAGTAATTCGTCGACCATGATCATATTCGAGCAATCAATCCCCCAAATCGAAGCCCTAACATCAATGTGAGTTTTGAAATTCAAGATTATTTTCGAGTAATCATTCCCCAAAATTGATTAGGGATTACATTCTTTGGTTCTTTCTCATTAAGGGGTGAATGATGGTGGCTATTAGAACTGTCCGAGAAGCTTTGCTGTTATTTTGGGTTTTGTATGAAGTGCAGATTGGGGGTTGTAGGCAGTGGTCTACTTTCTGTTGTTGAGAATTGGGGCAAGTATAATTTTTTGGGCAAAGTTCCATGGCAGTATATTTTAGAATTACTACAAGCATCTTTTTGAAAGATTAAAGCCACTGAGTGTAAATTTCAGAATTGGTAAATTCAAATGCCAAAATATTCTTTTTCTGGACTCTTTTTGAAAAGCCTTTCTTGCTCTGCTAATTGTTAAACCATCAGCTAGTTCTTTGAAGTCAAACAATGTCTGCTACTTCCCAAATGGACGAGGACTCCGGCTGCATTTTACTTCAGCTAGATATCAACATTGTCTGGACTCTACTTTGGTTGCTGAATTACTAAATTTTCTGAATACACAATAAATAAGAATTTTTGGATTGCTTCAATATGTTATTAATTTATGCTTCATTTAACTTAGATCTCATAAGATTGTTATTTATTCATTAATTTTTGAAATGTGCTTAATTATTCAATGGGCAATGTGGATGTGGGTGACAAGCAACTGTAGAAATTTCAGAATTGAAAGATAATCCAGGAAAACTATATTACAATTGTCCAATTGGTGAATGTGGCTTTTTTGCATGGTTAAAGCCAGTGAAGTACGATGAGTTGAAGCTAATGAAGTACGGTGAGTTGAAGCTAATGAAGCATGAAGAGTTGAATAAGTT